ACGAAGTACAAGTTTGCAAAATCGAAAATGCACTCTTTCGACTAACTCCAAGTTTTCAAAACACCAAATTTCACACCCATACAAGAGTATAGGTAAAATAGTCTTGTCGAATATATATCATTGACATTCAATAGAAAGATTTGTTTTCTTCATCATTTTGGTAACAACCTATATATTGCTTTTTTAGCTTTTTCTTGTAAATATTTTCTTGCCTTTAAAATGAGGAACTTGTCGAAAATATAATTTCAAGATATTTATATTCATTTACTACCTCTATTTCACGATTATCAGTATTAAATTTCAAATTTTTGAACAGTCAACCTTTTCAGTATATCATAATTTTAGTTTTTAGCACATTTATTTTCAGTTTCCGTTGTTTACAGTAATAAAAAAAAAAATTGAGTAGCATCAATTGTAATTCTTCACTTGATCTTGACAACAAAATTATATCGTCATCAGCATACAATAAAATAAACATTTTGAAATAAACCATCAATTCATGTTCTAGATCTCTACTGATTGTTTCTTAACCTTTATCATTTGTAGTTTCTAGAAAGTCTTGTAATTCATTTGAATATTAAGAAAACAATATAGGATAGATATTCTCCCCTTGTCTAACTCCTATATCACATGCCAAAAAGTTCCTTTTCATTATTATGCACTGTATATGCAAGACTTCATATCTGAATACATATTTTTTACGACTCTAAAAATTTTCCCGTTCATATTGTGCTGTAGAAGTTTGAAAAACAAAGAGTTTCTATGTACAAAGTCAAAGGCTTTTTCAAAATCTACAAACGCACAGTAAAGTTTCTTTCTTTTTATTAAGAATAACTAAAACCATAAATACAGACAAAAAATGTGGTTGTTGATAGAATAGCTGGATCTGAATCCATCTTTATTCTCAGGTAAACATTTAAAATGATAGCAAAATTTACTTCATCTATCATTCAAAATAGATGTGAATATCTTCCCAATGCAAGATAGAAGTGTTATGGGTCTATAATTTCATGTTCCATTTCACTCCCAAATTTAAAGAAAAAGTGTAAACTTTTCCAAAAAGCCACGACAGTAATATAATAATTGTATCAAATTGAATAAATAAACATAAATGTCAATATTATAGAATCAAATGAAGATGAAATGTATTCATTTATGATTAAATCAAAACCTGGAGAATTATTTTGTATGATTTTTTACTGCTTATCTTATTTCATCTGCTGCTATATCCTTGTTAATCATTTCATTTACTTCGTCTGAATTTAACTCATTTGTAATTACAAAATCATCTGAATGATATTTGTTTGTATTCAAATCTTTACAAAAGTCAACCAAAGGAATGTTTGATATATATCCTTGCCTATTACAGTGAAAACGTTTCCAAAATTCTTTTAGATGTTTTGTTCTCATGTTTTTCAGCTTGCTTCGAAATCTGTATTAAACCCTACAATAACATTATTCATTGTTTTCTTGTAAGAAAGTTCACACACCCTTAGTCTTTCTTTAAATATATTTGAACCATATTTTTTCACAGTCTTTTTTTCTCTTCTAAATTCTTTTTTTGCTTTTAAACATTTGAAATCAAACCATTGCTTTTTTGAATGTCGTTTATGCGCTATATTACTTGTGATACCGAAAGTAGTTTCTACAGATTTCAATAAAATATTTCATAGATTAAAAAGAAGCTCATCTACTTCCCTTTTCCATGCGTTTTGTTTGGCATTATGTAAAGACAGTATCTTAAAAATAAATTCTCAATCATTTTTCCATTCAAATGTTCACTAAAATCCAATGTTTCTATTTACCAATTTTTGGTGTAAAATTTGTCTCCAAATCTGAATGCTTCTTATTTATAGAGTTTAAAGTAAGTGAAATAGGTGAGTGAACATCTGAACAAAGTCTACAAAACTCTTGTACTTCAAAATCGAGTATACTCTCAAAAACATAATAAGTGCATATCATATAATCAACTACACTTTTATTTTTACAAGTCATTCTACCAATACTGTCTTTCCCAAATCTACAATTTAAGATAAACATATAATTATTTCTACAAAAGTCCATCAGTTTTCTTCCATACTTATTTACAATAGTGTCAGGATTTTTTTTATACCTTGAAATGTTCAAGAATACATATATCTGAAAATACATTTATATCGGATATTTTATTAGATTGAGTATCATCGGTATCTTCGATTTCATGGAAATCTTTGAGTGTTGCAGTTCGGCTATTGAGATCGCCAAGTAAACAGATGAAAAGTCACTATTTTTACAAATTTTTGAAATTCTAATTCAATTTCGGAAAAGGCGTCATATGATGATTACACTAGTTTGCAAGGGTTATATAAGTAATGGCAAATGTTATATTTCCTGAAAATTAAAATAAAAACCTTCATATTCAGCAGAAAAACAGAAAACATTATATGAATGGACATTTTGGTTCTTTTCCAGTAATGCAACGTTCTACATATTTTTTGTAATCTGTAGCAATATGACCAGATTTGTAGTTCTTCATTTTCTTTTTTTATACTTGAAAATAAAGTTTTCACAATCAATATTGTTTATTTTGTCAAGTTTTGCTTCTTGTTAACAAACAATATCAAATTTATTTATTAAATATCGAAATGTAGGATAAAATAACAACACATACATATAACGATAGTATTTTGATATCTGAGTTCTTGTTCACTGTAAAACAAATGGATCTGTGAATGTCATCCGAATCGTTTACATTGTCACTGTTCACTGAGCTTGTTCACCCTCCATGATTTACCTATCTCTCGTTATTTGATGATCTAATAGACGTGAGATCAATTGGTTTGTTTTGTCTTCGTCTTGTTTTGGGACGTGTTCCCGTCGTATAGCCTTTTCGTCTATATCTGACATTAGATAGAGGCATAATTTCTTTTCCATCGATAAAAAGTCTGTCCCGTTTGAAAATGGTTATTTTGTTTTGGTCTCGAGCTTCCTTATAATAAGGCCATAACAACTATCTTCTTTCATTGATTTCTTTCGGAAATTGTTCTGAAAAACCAACTTTAGTTCCCTTAAGATAAGTTGCAGATTTTCGTACAATTTTTCTGTTTTTAAAGTTTTTGAATCTAAATGCAATTGGTTTGGTTTCAAACATCGTTCCGCCTCGATTTTTTCTCTTTGTCTGCTGTCCGAATCGATGAGGTCAGTTGAAATCAATCACATTTTCCATTTTTATTTTTCCTATAATAAATATTTTTTTGATTCCTTCAGTTGTATCGCTTTCTTTATTTTTCGTTTTGATAGGAATTCCTGTAAACACTAGATTCTCTCGTATCGACCGAATCTGGAGATCTAGGTGTTTTTCGTGTAGTTTATCCAGATTCTTCTGAACTCTTTGCATGTTTTTGGCCATTTCGGCGATTTCAGATGTAATAACGGTAATATTAGATTTCATATCAGATAATCAATTTCTATTTAATTCAATTTTTTTGTAATCCCACTACTCTTCCTGTATTTTTTTCTACACTGTTTGAAATTTTTGGCATAGCATAGATCTTTCAAATTTTCCCAGTTTTTCACAGAAGGAAACCTTCCCCCTTTTGTCCAAGATTCTCAATTCTAATGTTTGTTTTGTGTCCGATATTCATTGTAGAATTTTAGAATAAAATGGTGACTATAAGGATAGTAGCCCGTTGTTGAAGTGAAGTTCGGGTTGGACATTTGTTGCGTTGTAAACGTATATTTAGAAGTTCCCCTGAAAAATATATTATAAACAATGCCATAATATATGTTCCTGTTGGAACAAATATTCTATACCCTTTATTCCGTTAGGAACAAATACTGGAAAACTTGTTTCAATGGAAATAATATTACAGAATATTTCTTCCATTTGGATCTTATATTATAAAGGAACTTTTATTTCATGACATTGTCGTATATTGATGTATGTTAGGTCCCCCAGGGAGGATAGGAGTATCAATATCTGGTATGTAAGTTGTCATATTTACCAGTCTGTAATTTATCGACAGTTTAATTCATTTTTTTATCTAGAGGGTAACACTATGTCTTCAGCGATAGACAGGTGATAATACCATATACACGCACATACAGTAACAACAGTACATGAAAAGCACATAGCTATACAATAACGATATAATAGATAAAACCCACATAAAACCAAATTACACCGTACTAAAGAATGTTTGCAGTTCCTAAAAGAAAGCTCAAAGTACTTAACATACTGATAAGAAATCATGCCATCCTTCACTTAAGATTGGTTGCAATAAACAGGAAAGGAAGACACGATCTTGTTCAATGCCCAACACAAACTATACAGAAAGATAAAAGAAACATTATTTTATTGCTTCAAACTGCAAGTTAGCAAGTTGATATATATATACCCAAATATACGAGAAGTGGTTTTTCTCGAAAATATTAAATTATGTGAAAACAATTTCGAGTTATTAACGGTTTTTTGAACTATTTTATCATAAATATTGCCAATGACACTTACATATTTTATATCGATTCTGAGTAAAATATTTGAATATAGCAATACAAAAATTGGTCTTTTGAAAAAAAAACCGAATGCATGGTCGTCTATTTAGTCAATGCCATTATAAAACAGAAAAAAATGTTTTTTTCTATTGCTTTAATGACAACAAAAGAAGATTTAATCTAGCAAATATAATGCTGACCTTGGCTTCCACCTGCCTTGCAATTGATCAAGAATGACACTTGACGTAAAACATTGACACCAAGGCTGATATTTTATGAACTTTTGATTTAAGTAAACTTTCTGTAATATAAAATCAAAGCCAGCCACCAGTTCACTAGTTCTAATTCTAACCGAGAACTAGACGTCATATTGGACAAAGCAGTAGAGGAAACAAATAATGTCAAATATCTTTTTGAACAATAGTTATGTAATGAATTTAAGAGGATTGAATTTGACATTGGAAAATAAATCTTTTTGGGACAAATTTGATGATCTATTGAGCCCAGCAGAAGATGTATTCTTCGAAATGTACGATCTACCATTATCATTCATTGTTCCTTTGCTATTGTTATATGGCATTGTAGCTGTCATCAGTTTTGGAGGAAATATTGCCGTTTGTTACACCTTATGCAATGGTAAAGTTCTGCTTACAGTGACAAACTTTTTCCTTGCAAGCCTTTCAGTCAGTGACATTCTGATGACGGTTCTCTGCATTCCGACTACTATTGTCAGCGATATCATTTATAAGCATTGGGTACTTGGTTCATTCATGTGCCATGTGCTACATTATCTTCAACTTGTAGTAGTCTTGCAAAGGGCATTTTCAGTTGTAGCCATAACATGTGATCGGCATTTTGTAATTTCTAGACCGCTCAAACAGAGAATGACCAAGAAAACAGCCAGATTGCTAGTGCTACTCCTCTGGATATTTGCATTTATAATTGCTTTGCCATCGGCCTGGTATTCTCAAGTCATAAATTTACATTATCAACCAGGATCACGTGGAATCTGCATTGAATTATGGGACGATCAGCAACTTCAACACATCTACAGCATTATACTACTACTGCTTCAGTATTTCATGCCTTTATTAATAATGATTTGTGTTTACGTTCACATAGGCTACATAATTTGGATTAAACCAACTCCTGGTGAGGCAGATAAAGTAAGAGATAAGAGAATTGCTTTATCTAAAAGAAAAGTGAGTTTCATATTTAGGCATTAGGGCCCGACATGAAAAAATATTAAACAACCCAAACATTGACGAGTTATGTGGTTATATACTATTATTTGACATAAACAAAACTGAATACTTAATTGTCAAAATAATTTATCAATTGGAATCAACATTATTTATTTCACCAAAATGTTGTTCTCCATCCCTACACATGTTTATTTAATCTTGACAACGAGTATTTATATTACCCGAAAGCTTTATCAGTGCTAAATGATCTTACTGCTTAGAAGCTAGTGAGTATTGACCTTGTGGTCTGTTTAGTTTTTTTAATCAATAAAATTTTAATGTCATTTTGATGGACTCAAAATTTTGTATCTTGAAACTTCTTTTGATTGGGTACATTTGATATTTGATATCGTTTGCGTATTTGCATATTGATATTGTTCTTTAACCAATGGTATAACAAGAACTTTAGTTTTTTTTATCATCACGAAGCTTGGAAAAAGTATTTTTAGCAATTACTAATTGTAGAAATTGAAAGTTTGATTAATATCTAATTCATCACAGGGCCCTTACCTAATTTTACCAAATTCTTCAAGATAATTTGAATTCAATGGATCAATCATCTTATCAAATAGTTTTATGTTAGAGTATGCAAATAACGGATAGAGGATATCAAACTGACTTTATAATATGTTAAAAGAAAGAAATATATAAAATATTTGAAAAAGACGACAGGATGTTAATTAAAAGAGGGAATCATATGAGCTCCTAAAGTTTCACTGTATGTTGCATCGAATTTGAAACTTGTATAACAAGTGTGGACTAGACTGAAATAGTCAGCCTTAAAAGAGAGTCGAAAGATACCAAAGGGACGTTCAAGTTCATAAGTCGAAAATAAACTGACAACGCCATGGCAAAAAAGAAACAGACAAGCATACAAACAACAGTACACAAAACACAACATAGAAAACTAAAGACTAAGCAACACGAACCCCAAGAAAAACCGGAGATGATCTCAGGTGCTCCGGAAGGGTAAGCAGATCCTACTCTACATGTGGCACTCGTCGTGTTGCTAATATAAATACAAAACCCGGTGATAAGTCTAATTCGGTAGGTCACATTCGGGGAAAAGGAGGCCACGAGGTAAATATATATGGTTTGCGAAATATATGACACTTCATACCCGATAATATCTCACAGAATCACGAAGGTCTCAAGTGTCATTTTCAATGTTTATAAATACTTACAAGTTATAAGCTCATTTGTCCAGTAGTTAAAATGAGGAAACAACTGAATAATAGTGATTGTACGATTTTTAAATTGATCTATATAATGTATCTGTTTACATGACTCATTGTACAATGCTATTTCTTTACAGAGTTTGAAAATGTTATTCATCCTGGTATCTGTCTACGCACTCACATGGCTTCCTATCCATATCATGACTATCATTGGCGATCTTAATCCAACGGTATATGATCATAGATTTGCTCACATACTATGGCTGTTTTTTCATTGGCTGGCATTCAGTAATACTGGTATCAATCCAATGATTTATTGTTGGATCAACAAGGCATTTAGGAGTCAGTTAAAACGATTATGGCGTTTTTCTGTATGTTGTCGTTTAAAGGCAAACAAAGAACGTCGGAAATCAATCGAAAAAGCTCTTAAGAAAAGACGAAGAAAAGCAAGTAAACAGAACATGCAGAAGCAGAAGGAAACTGATATTTCTTAGAGGGTGCATAAAAGGTCAACAATTCAGTCACAAATATGCCTTGAGACTTTATTAAATTCTGCCTCTATCGTATACTCATATATATTTTTAAAATGTTAGTACTGAATATACCACGTATACCAATTAAACGTTTCAAACTGATTTGTTTTTTTTTATTTGACAGAGCTGGATATTTTTTTTTTAATTCACAATCATGTGACGTTGATCTAGATAAGGCCGATGATTGTAATCTAGTCTAATTTTAGTCTGGTATTGAAATGTAATGGACATTATTTAGAAACAAAGAAAATAAAAACTTATTAACCAAGCACAAAACGCATCCTACAGCTTGTATAGAAATATAAGAAACCAAGTCATTCCATTAGACTTACAGTTCAAACTTTTTGAAGCCATGGTAGAGCCTATTTTATCATATGGTAGTGAGATTTTGGGGTTCGAAACTTGAAAATGTTTTAACAAATTCCTTAAGGTTTTTGTAAACGAATTTTAAAAATAAGGTCTACAACACCTAATTTCATAGTCTATGGGAGAATACGCCAGATTTCCTTTAGAAATCAAAGTTAAAGTAAAAATGGTATCATTTTGAAGAAAAATATTGCATTGTGAAAAATTAGGAAGTAATATGTATAGATTATTACTTAGTTTATAGCAAAATAGCAGTCAGTCCTTCAAATGGTTGAATTTTGTTGAATCAATAATTAATGATACAGGATTAGGGTATGTATTTGTCAATCAAGATAGTTCTGACCATAAACATCTGATAAAACATGTTTCAAAAATGGCATAGCGATATTCAATTATATACCCGTTGTGTATTTTATTCAAGTTATAAAGAACTTTTTAGTTTTGAAAAGTATTTAATAAAGAACACGCAAGAATCTGGATGACAAAATTAAGTCCTGCCGAGGACCGATTTATGTAAAGAAAATATGAAAAGAATTTCACTATCACTATATATGTTAGTCTCCTCTTCTAGTTAATATTAATATACGCAGGTGACATCTTTTATTAGAAACATAAATAACTTATTGTGATAGGTATATTATTTTTGTATATTTTTTATTAACTGTTTATTGTATTATAATTCATGGTTTTTTTTATTGTATATTTACCTTATGTTACACGTATATGTGTCTGAGTAATGCTTAAAATAAAATCTTGAAATCTTGAAATCTTGAAAATCTTGTAATAACATATTTGTTCATATAACCATTGATTTTTGGGACAGGTTTTATGTCCCTTTGCCATCACAGCAGATTTGTCAGATGCCTCTGGAATAATGAAATAGGTATCATTGTCCTTAACAGCAAGCTGATCAGATACAAATTGGGAAGCATTTTGCAGCGTCTTTTATTTTGAAACATTAAAAATAAATTTTAAATTAACTGAAATGACCGTTGAACAACTACTAAATGAAGAAAATACTGCTAATTGAGTTAGTCTAAAATTGATTGATATCGTGTGTGCCTTTTGAAAAGGTTGGATCAATTGTACGAAATGTAACATTGCCGACGCTTTTAGTCTTTAATTTTTTACGTAATATCTTCTTCTCTTTTCCTATACTCGACGGTGCTTGTTTTGAGAAAAATATGTATAAACTTTGGCTAACGATAATGTTAGTAGGTTTGTTCCCTTCGTAAATGTTCAATATGCCTACGGAATACACAAATATTTTTCAAATATCGGACGGGGAACAGAATATCAGGGGATCCTGGCCTAAAAAACCTATGATTAAGGCGAGGCGTAATATAATACACGTGACCACTTTTCAGCGTTGACTGGATTACTCCACATGTGTATATTATATAAGCAATGCATATATTGAAAATTAGCTGTTGAGTCACGATGTACGTCAGTAAGATGGGGATTAATATTGCTATCTTAGTGTTTAATATCATATTAAGATCTTCTTATTTGCTAAGATTCCCCTAAAAATTTAGTCCCACGCGTAACCCTTAAGGGTACTCTTATCATTCTCGTAGCGCTCTCTTGGTCTTCATTTTATCGACTGGGTATCTCAAACGCCGATAATCAACTTAAGATCGTCTTAGTATACTCTTAGCAAAAAGTGTTTCAACAATTTTTTTAAACTTATTATTTCCGACAAAACTTTAAGAGTATTCAGCGGCCTTCTTATAGTCCTTTAGTTTAGAAATTAGAACTTGCTGTCTTCTCGTAAAGTCTAAAATTCAATGTGATGTGTAGTTCAAATTGAAATTCGAGTTTATTTAAATAAAATTAAATTGTTGTCACCCTCCATGTCAAATTAGAGCACGAACCAAAGTTTTATTTTGGGTTTGCACTGATACATTCACTTCATACTCATTTTTCTCTTGATAGCTGTTTGATTGGTAATCATACAGCATCTTCTTTTCTATATAGATATAAGAAGATGTGGTATGAGTGCCAATGAGACAACTCTCCATCCAAGTCAAAATTTTAAAAGTAAACCATTATAGGTCACAGTACGGTCTTCAACACGGATCCTTGGCTCACACTGAACAGTAAGCTATAAAGGCCACCAAAATTACTATTGTAAAACCATTCAAACGGGAAAACCAACGGTCTAATCTATATAAAAAACGAGAAACGAGAAACACTTATGAACCACATCAACAAACGACAACTACTGAACATCAGATTCCTGACTTAGGACAGGTGCAAACAAATGCAGCGGGTTTAAACGTTTTAATGGTACCAAACCTTCACCTTTTTTCTGAAACAATAGTGTAACATCACAACATAGAAAGACACACTATAAAAAATCAACTGAAATAGCTTAACTCAATCAAAGGACATATTAACACCATTGAACATACACTGAACAAATAAATTTGACCTATGATACAATGTAAATACAAAATAAATAAACTATGTATGCTAGGTTTTCACTCCGAATTCGATAACATATTTGCCATGTTTCAAACAAATTTACAGCAGTTATTTAAGAATCAACTGTTCCCACTTCTCAAATTCTTGTTCAAGTACTTATACGCGATGGAGTGTCTTGAAGATTGGATAAAAGAAAAAAAAGATCAAAGAAGTCAGTTCATTTAATATCACATAATAATATATATCATTATAAAAATACGAAGATGTGGTATGATTGCCAATTAGACAACTATCCACCAGATTTCAAATGACGATCATAAAAGCAATTATAGGTCACCATACGGGCTTCAACAATCAGAAAAACCCATACCATATAGTCAGCTATAAAAGAATTACAGGCATAT